GCGGATGATAAAGGTTAAGCCTGTTGGGACAGGGATCTGCACACAATGGTAGGCGGCAGCGCCCTTTAATATTTCACTCGGGATGGTGCAACCACCAATTTTAGTGTGACAGCGTTGAGTTTCATATCAACTTTACACCATGCTTGTTTCAAGTGTCTGTTTGTTCGTGGTTTTGTCACAAGCAACAGGTCGGGATAGCTGTGTTCCGGTGGGTCTCTCAGACCTTTTCATTCTGCTACAACTACTCGCACGGTGATATCTACGAATTTTAGGAAAGTGTTGCAGTGGAGATGGGTTTTAGTAATATGGGGAGGTTACATTCAAATTCAGACAGTCCATGCCGCTGCAACTAGGGCCTTAGTGACTAGAAAAGAAGTCGAGCTTGAAGCGCTAATCAATAATCTTTCAGCCACCCACATTACAGAAAGTCAAAATTAATGCAGATAATGGACCGTTGGGAGAGGAAAGAGGCAAACAGAAGCATGCTATTGACAGACTTGCTGTGCCCAAGTGTATAAACCCTGTACCATTTCAATATTTTTACGGTAGAGACAATTTTTATGGACAATAAAGGTGAAGGTGCTAGGATCGTATAATGAAGGACTGTAGGTTTAAGTTGATGAAGAATAAATTTTGAAAGGCAGATTGTTGTAGGGCATAAGGCTTGACTCAATACTTGTGTTCGGGCAGAGAAGGTAGAGGTGGGACCACGGTACAGCCGAATGCCAGCCCACTCGGCAGAAGCAAGCGACCCGACAAAGGGATTACCACTCCTAGAGACAGTCGAACAGCCAATGTATTACGGTGTGATCTCGATCACTTTAAGCAAATTGTCAACATGCAATCAATAACTGTGCTGCGCACTACTCAGGGCAATTCGCTACAGACAAAGAACCAAATTTGCGCTTCTTAAGATACCGTAATATGAATACACTTTTCCGCACAGAGGAAGTAGAAGGATTTAGTTAAAGCGATAAATTCAAGAAATAATGGAAGTTGTGGAAAGTGTTGGGAGCTCATTCGTTCTCTGTGCTGCGATAAATCTGTGAGGCTCAAAGTAATCAGAAGACATGATTTTACATGGGCAAAATCGAATTAGCGCGCAAATGCCTCACTGATAAAACTTGGAACATCATTAAGCTTTGGCCTTAGCCGATGATGAACATTAACGATCAGTATCTGGCTTATCTTGAGATGCTAGTCGTTCTCATTAGGTCTAAACCAGGTGTATTCATAGCCGCACTCCCAAAAGTGCTGTCCATGGCTGAGTAATTGCACTCAATGACGAGCCAAAAGAAGGCGTGTCGTGGCCATAGCTTGGTGACCTCAACTTGTACGGGCGCACGCCACGTTTCGGATTGGCTGGCGAAATCAGCCTATTTATTGGCTGCTTTGTGTATTTGTCAGATTAGCGTACTGATTGGTCAACACGAACGATTGTTGCCTCATTTACTGAAGGCTCAGTTCTGCGTTGTCACGACACGCGCGTGGTGGTTTCCGCAAGGGCGTCGCTCATTTACCTCTATTTCTTCGAATGCTTGCAAGCATAACTGTGGGCTATAATGGACTGCTTGCGAATCAGGGGACGTCCATAAGTGTAAGTCGTTCGGGTCTTTTTTAAAGCACATTCTATTGCATGAACAACATTTCCATGAGGTATAATTTTATAGCTCTATCCAAAATGGCGTGAAATATGTGCTCAGGTCTTTGTTCTAAACACTTACCACTAATTAAGACTTTATATTTGCTTTATCCTGCAAATAGGTTTGTATGACTTGTTATTCCATAGAAGCATTTGAGGCCAGTATTTACTCGGCTAGATTAGCATTGTTACGTCTTCTGATTGCGTGTAGTCGCAAACTTCCGAAAGGAGTCATTCAAGTGGCACTGGATTTGGCCAAAAGTCAGATTTGTCCAAATCGCCTCTGTCGTCCCCTGAACTTTCCAGAGGTATACACCCGTACAAGTCCCCTTCAAAATGGAGCTTTAATGACACCTCATGCGGCCTAACCCATGGGGCGGAAGGATCGACAATGACCAATATTGCGTCAGTGTTCTGCACTCCTGTGGAACAGGTGGAAAAAAGTAAACCGAGGGGGACAATTCGGTTGGGAGAATTGCTGGTGCGGACAAGCTCCATGCCTGAAGTGAGTAGCGCAGTCGCACCTCGCTTTCGAGTCAAGTCAGCTGGTAAGGTCACCAAATGAGCACTCACATGAGTCGCAATCATTGAATGCGATTTATTTACTCCCTGATGTTCTTATCATTTCAGACTTCACTTTGAAGGGAGCCGGAAGTATGCACTGTCAGAGTGGGAGTTGGAGGACGCTGGAAGATGCTAGTAGCTCATCGTTCCCTCTCAATCCACAGAGAAGTGTTTCAACCAGCACCGCTGCAACCGAGCCCATTGGGCTTCATACAAGTGTGGCGACTTTAGTAAAAAAACGACAGGATATTGAAGAGCAGATTATTCATTTACAAGTTCAACTGCTTGAGTCGTTTCGTGAGGAGTGGGTGAGTAAGGGTATTGTTACTGTAATTTCATTAAAAATTAATTCATTTTTTAAGCGCTGATAAAAGTAGCGCTGGTGTTTGCTCATTTAACGCCGATCTTATTTATCCTAAATTCATGTCAGGAGAATAAATTTAAACTCTGCGTACAAATTGACTACTTTAAGCAATAAAATAGTCTTTCCGGCAACTGAAGTGAATTATAAAATGCACCAGTGCGGAGTTGACCGAGCACCTAAATCAAGCGAAAGTGTGGTGGGTTGGCGGGCTCGCGTTTCTTTCAGCTAAGACTTCTTGTAGCAATGGTCTGGTGCCAGTTTGGTGAGGCGTCTTCTATCGGTCCCCAATGCATAACTGATTGATCAAATATCGGCTACCGCAACTCGCGCTCGCCTGACTGGGAGCATGGCGAAAAGGTACAAAGTCACCCTTAGCGCACATACACACGCCTCTGACCTTAGGAGGCCGTACTTTAGCCCCTTAGACGACGCGCCATCCACGCTGCGCAGTGTTTATAAGCCGTTGTCTCATAAATGGCTAAAAAAGGTTTTCGCTCGATTGATCTGTGGTGGTAACATGACTGCAAGTGTCGTGAGAACGTGTTATCCACCCCTGCACTTTGGCAAAGTAACATGACTCAATCAGTATAGTCCTGATGCCAAGTTGTCGCTCTTCACATGCAAGTTTTTGGCTTTTTATTTGTGAACTTCGATTATGCGGCTGTTCACTGTTGCAGATCCTCACAGGTGTGATTCCTGAGGGTTTTGCAGAACTTCAGACCCAAGTGATCGCCTTCAATCCAAAGCTGAAGACCACTTCTTTCCCCTTTACTCATCTGCTTACAAGTAGTCAGTTGGAACCCAGTCGTAATGGTGAAATGATTGACAAGATAGTGAGTTCCTTTGTGCATCAGCTATATTAACCGCGATTAAATTTCCGATTACGATAGTGCTAGGTAACGCATGTTATTTTCCATCAACTCTCTAGAGCTTCTACCAAATGGGTGTTTAGTTGGACTATTTATTACCTTGCCGTTACAATTGTGGCTGTATCAGTCAGACGATGTGCGAAACTGGTCTACTCTATGCTTCTTTCTGCAGGATTGTGCACTAGTAAGGATTAATGAAGCGTATGCTGCATCTGGAAAGCCCGTGGGTACTACAAATGGCAAACTGGCATGCAAGGATTCCCTGACTTCATCATTTTCATCAGTAATGGGTGATGTAAGTCGTGAAATTAATTTTTGCAGTGTTAAAGGCTTATCGTTCGATCACTCACTTTTCTTGTGCATCAGTCATTGTGCTGGTCTCAGTGGGACGAAACCTCCACCAGGACGTCTGGCAGCCTTGGTGACTGCGCAAATGACGAGGCTCGAGAATTGATAACCAAAAGGCTGCAGAGCCTGGAGGCCGATTGTGCCTTCGTCAGTCAGCTCTATCGGGCTCACAAGCAACGTGCGATGGAGACAAATAGACTTGCATTTCGGAAAGCCTACAAGTGCAATGCACAGAAGGTGGGCTCACAATCATGTTGTATTTGCTTATGTTATGTGAGTACGTGACGTGCTCTATTATTTTGCAGTTGAAGGAAATACATCGTGAGAAACTTGCTTTGGAAGAGCGCTTACGTGTGCTTAAACTTGACGAACAATCCAACACCATTCCAGGACTGACAAGGTCGAGTAGCCTCTCTGCACAAACCAATGTAAATCGGACGTTCAACCTTTTTCCTCCCTCCTCTATCGCAGCACCACCGGTGGCTACACTTCCTCGACGCAGGACATTACAATTTCCGTCTATTTCAGCCAGCAATACTCTGCGCCTGGGGAAATTGAGGCGACGATCTGGCCTGAAGTACACAGGCCTCGAGAAATGTCCTTCTTCAGCTGTTCACATACAGCAAACTGAAGAGAGTATGGACAATGTGCCTGACTCTACGTGCATTAAAACTGCCCGGGCTACCGCTTTCTCCACTTTTTTCCGTCTCCCAGGGCAGCATGGCAATGTTGAGTCAGGAAGGTCCAAAACAGATGAGGAGTCAAAGTCCGGAATGCTAGAAGTCATTGAGACTGCTCAACCATTAAGTAGGGTAAGTGCATTGATTTTGGCGTAAAAAAACAATGTAGCTCGATTTTAAATTGCAGCCATCTTCGTTGCTTGGATCTGTTGCTCAGGGAGAAGGATGTGAATTGGAGTCCAATCTCGATCGGACTCATTTTAACCGATCCGTTTCTTCCCCAGCTCTAACCAGGCCTCACATCGAAGAACTCGGACGTGACTCCGTGTTGAGTCGCTCCTTGGAAGCTGTTAAGGGGCAAGTAGAAAGTTAGGGTTTAATATTATGAAAAAGATATCCTACAGTCGGGACGCACGTTCCAGTACTTGATATACTTCGATACAATTAGCACTCGGCTTTAACTCTGTAAGTTTGTTTTCTTTGCAATTTTGTAGTGATATACTAAGTGGAGTTGGAAAAAATGAAACACCAGATGAAGTGGTGAAATTGCAGATTGAGACTGTGGATCGCCCTACCCGATCCATCACTTCTTCATCGTCTTCTGATGTACAGTCACCATCCGATTACTGCTCAACTACACCACAATCTTTCTGTATCGTGCATCCATCCAAAGCATCGGAAGTTTGTCTCCGTCGACCTGCAGATGGCGAACTAAGGGATTCGTCCATCCGCTGTATTTGCAGTTGCATTTCTGAGTATAGCGGGAACTGTGAATGCACTGAGGCGGTAAATGAGACCACGGGGCTGCATTCCGACCAGCCCGAAGGGGCACAGCAGCCCTCACCACCTTCTAGGAGCAGGCTACCAGTGACGATGTCCAGAAAACAGACTCGGCGGAACCTGAATCTGTTGTCTTTATTGCGTTCACGTAGTAGTAAGCAGGGCTCCTTGTCTAACGCATGAAAAATAACTCTCAAGAGGCAGAATTATTGGCGGGAAATATTGTCCATTATTGATTGTGGCTGTGATTTTTGACGTCAAAAGAATCATATGTGTATTTCTACTACTAACTTTGTATATATTCGGTTTGTAATCCCTGTGAAATCGTTCGGTACCAGATTATAAATTGCTAGTAATGTCTCACATCTGACTTAACACTTATGGAAGGTCGGTTATTGTCTGAGCCTTCTCGTCCGGGAACAATAGAGGGGATCACGTCATATGGCGCAGATCTGGCTATGTGTGGGCAGGTTGTGCCACGTGCGGTGCTTTACTGAGTTTTTACTCCTGCATGTGTGGAGCATACAGTTAGGGA